AGTGATGCTTTTTAGGTGATGATCTTCCTGATTGTGGTGGACTGAACTAGACTGGACTGGACTGGACTGTATCATGCAAGAAACAACTGTGAGGAGCGAGAAGACGGACATACTCTCACTGTTTGATGGATGAAAAGATGGTAGAAGATTTGTATTTTGCTAGCGATGATGATTTATGTCTAATGTATTGTGTTGCACAAAGTCGAGGATGTCGAGGCAAAAACCAAGAGTTTGACAGGACAGGCAGGGAGGTGAAGATGGGCTTCCTTCAGGTGAATGTGTATAAGACAGAGGTGATGAAGATACCCACCCAACCAACCAACCAACAACAACAGCAAGAACGACAACAGCAACAAGAAGCAGTGATCAGTGTGAACGGGAGAAGCTTAGAGGAAGTAGCGTCTTTGACCTACACCTACGTAGGCAGCATCATTTAAACTACAGATAGGGGTATAGACACACATGAGGACGTCCAAGCCAGTGAGGATGGGAAAGACAAGAAGACAAGTCTTTCTTGCCTTATGTGAAATGAGTGTGGAGATCTACTGCAGTGCAGTGAAGTGCAGTGCAGTGAACTCAGCACAAAGCGTGAAGACGATGGTGATTTTCCACAGTTAGTCAGTGAAGTTAGTGCATGTATGTGATAGTTGAGAGACTTATCGTGTTATGGAAAGGATTTCGAACGAAGTGCCGACATCATACATGAACAGGTGATGCTTATTGTGACTGGATATTGAAGATGGAGATGAGATGGTGAGAATAATGAGAATAGTGAAGGAGGAAGGCTTGCTTTCACTGAAGCAAGCGAGAAGCCGTGGCGTAAGAAATATGCTGGAGGTGTAAATGGAGATGGATTGGGCATAGACTGAGGAAAACATTTTGTGAGATCGTGCTCCATGCCAGTCGGTCGGGTGTAACGGAGATGGGATATGACGAGTTGGTCGTCGTAGAGAATGGTGACATTGAGGAGATGGTGTGAAGAAGAAGTTGAAGGTGATGAGGATTTGTGGAGTGGCGTTAAGGGGACTGTGGAGAAGATGGTGAAGTGGAGATATGTTACTGATGCCCTATGTTTCCCTAGGAATCCCGGGGATAAATACTAAAAATACATTGTGTGTGTGTGTGTGTGTGTGTGTGTGTGTGTGTGTGTGTGTGTGTAAATTTTAGTTCAATACTCTCTTGGGATTTGAATTATCGATTTGTGAATTGGTGAACAGCTTGTTTTTCAACTGTTTCTCGTCTCTTTTGTAAAGATATATGATAATATTTGTACTGTATGCAGGTATATCTCTACTAGTCATAATTAACCCTTAGATTTTAACCAACATTTGGTATAACATCAATCTACCTTACTGTCATGGTAACTGTCACAATGTAGACAGAATTTTGTGTCGATCAACTTCGATTCGATTGAATACGAAAAAGGATATATAAATGGATGAAATATGATTGGTTCATCATTCTGCCTTACAACTCTCTCTCTCTCTCTCTGTCTTTGTCTCTCTTTCTGTACAGTCTAATTTCAGACTATTTTTATGATGTATGATTTCACAGTTTTGTCATAAGGGAATATTTTTAAACCATTTGATACTAACCAATAATGAAAACATATACACACATATGTGGATACTAAATATTTAAAAATTCATCTTATGTTTCGACAGATTATTATTATTATTTTTCCCTTGGGTTCCCTAGGGGAACACAAGACTTCAGTAGCACGCCTCCATTGCACTCTGTTCTCTGCAGTCCTCCCAACCTGGCTCCACAACTGCGCATCAACTTTCATTTCTTCCCCACATCATCGCCATGTCACCCTCACCTGGGATGCCCAACTCATTGTTTCCCATTTGGATTCCACTCGAGGGAGTGACCTGACGCGTAATGTTCCCAATCGGCCTTTTCAGTGTATCCTACTTCAATCCATCTACACTTTCTTCTACATTTTCGTTGGGTGATAGGTTGGTTCTTGTTTGGTTCCTCCTTGCTTATTCTTTCTGGCCATCTGATCTCCATCTTCAGTATCTAGTGAGCGTAGGCAGCAGCTGTTGATGAATGTCTGTAGTTTGTTGGAAATGCTTTTCCTGATTCGCCAAGTTTCTGAACCATTACATAGAAGCACTGAATTGACTGAATTGGTGTTGAAAATCCGGATGTTGTTCACGTTTTGTGCTGAGTGCAGTAGATCTCCACACTGATTTCAGATTAGTGAAAGCCTGTCATGCTTTAACGATCCTGGTTTTGATATCGTCGTCTCTGCCCCCTGTAGTTGAAACGATGTTACCTAGATAGGTGAAAGATGCTACTTTAAGTTTCTCCCGTTAATGGTGATTGGTGCTTGTTGTTCATGCTGTTGTCGGTTGGGTATCTTCATCACCTGTGTCTTCTCCACATTCACTTGAAGTCTCTTTTTTTTTTAACAGATTTTGGTTGACAGAAGATTCCAGGCCACAATAGATGCATATACCTGCCTCTTATTCAGTGATGTTATTCCCGGTATCCATCATTTTATAGGTCAAATCATTATCCATTGAGATGGTAGCACATTCAGCTGACGAGTGATGAAATAGGACGAAACGCGAATCATATATTTCACTACTGTTATAAATAAGTATATAATGTCTTAGATTTCTTCAGAAACTTAGCGGTACAAATTACTGATATCATTTTTTGTAGTATAGATGTTTGGGTGAATAAATATAATTAGTTAGGGGTGTAGTATTCTGTTAACCACACCTACTATATATCCATCTTTAGTGACAACACACAGTTTGTTCTATGCTCAATTTAAGTAGGCGGGTTATGCTAAACTGGGTGGCTTTTGAATAATTTTGTCTAGCTTTTAATGTTATCAGTGTGCTTGCATAATGTTTATAAGATGATATACATACACTGCTGGTGTGTGTGTTTGGGCTAGCTATATTTAGCCTGAAACCAGTGTGGAGATCTTCAGCACTCAGCATTTGGAACAAGATGCGGATTTTGAACACTAAATCAGTCAAGTGAGTGCTCGTGTATGGTTGAGAGACTTGGCGCGTTACGAAAGGCATTTCTAAGAAACTCTAGACATTGATGAACAACTGCGTACACTGGCTCGTTACTGAAGCTCAGATGGATTGCCAGGAAGAAAAAGCAAGGAGGAAGTCTGGCTTGCTGGCTGGCTGGCAACGAACTTGTGAGGCGAGAACCTATCACTGAAGAAATATGCAGAAGAGGGAAGTGGAGATGTATTGGGGATACTCTGAGAAGGCCGACTGGAGGCATCAGGCGCCAGGCCAGTTAGTTGAGTGGAACCTCGATGGGAAGCGACGAGTTGGTCGTCGGAGATGAGGGTGACATGGAGGAGATGGTGCGAGGAGGAAATGAGAGGTTGTGGGTTGTCATGGAGCGAGGTTGAAAAGATTGCAGAGAACAGAGTGCAGTGGAGGTGTGCTAGTGAAGCCCTATATCCCATTAGGAACCCGAGGGACAAATAATAATAATAATAATGGTAGAATATAATTTCACTTTGCTTGACATATGAGGTTTATCACACATAGTGAACTTTCTATATAGAAAACCTTCACCTTTGAATCGTTACTTAAACTTCAGAGTATCTCACCTCACCTCAGTTAAATTAGGCTTATTTTAATGTATAATTAACATGGCCAAAAAAAACTTACCAGAAGATCAAAGACAATGAGTCAGATACACTAAAGGACACCTTAGTCACTAATAAATGCTCAACCGAATTCATTAATGAGATGCTTAGGAATCGTAAGAAAAACACAACTAATAGTGTTGATAATAATGGTGGCATTACTGTGAAGAGAGAGAATTCAAAACTTCCAGAGTATTACCTACCCATCATGCAATGAAGGCACCTCAAAGACATTACATAAGATTCTCAATAAGGCTGACTGTAAGTTTAAAAAAAAATCCTATTGATCCAATTAAGCAGAATAATCTAGTTTATCCAGATCCCTAGGAATGACTGCGAAGTCAAACTGGTCAACCAACTAGGGTCAATTAGGCTATCCGAGCACAACATCAGTAGATTATTATAATTTGTCCCTTGGGTTTCTAGTGGAACATAGGGCTTCAGTAGCACGTCTCCATTCCACTCTCTTCTCTGCAGTCCTCCCAACCTTGCTGCACGATTGCTCATCAGCTTTCATTTCTTCCTCACATCATCTGCATGTCAGCCTTGGACGCCCAGCTCGTCGTTTCCTACTTCGCTTCCATTCAATGGACTGGCCTGAGGCATGATATCTCCAATCGGTCTTCTCAGTGTATAACTAATCCATCTCCACTTCATCCTACTGTATATTTGTTGGGCGATAGGTTCCTGGTTGATTGGTTCATTGCCAGGCCAGAGTTCCTTGTTGATCATGTTCATGTATAATGTCTGTAGTTTTTTGGAAATGCTTTTCGTGATGCGACAAGTCTCTCAACTATCATATAGAAGCATTGAGGTCTGACGAAAGTTACTATACAAGAGAGAGGTGACGATTGAAAACATTGTGAACCTTCATCGAATGCTGAACCAGTGCCTGCCTCGACTTGCCATCCTAGAGGAATATGGATTAGATTTTGAAAGGATTTAAGATAGTCAAAGACGTGTAACCAATCGATGAAAGTTTCAATTGTCTATCTGAATCACCTAGGGGGTGATGTAGACTGCTGGCTAATTGGAGTTTCTAAGGTGATGGTAATCTGTGCTTCAGGATTCTTGCTGGCATGACTTGAAATCGATCTGAGTGATACACTTATAAATTCATACTGATGTCTTCTAAAGCTTGAATATTTACACTAACCATCTTCAAGTTATTCTTCATCCTATATACCTTTGTGTACTTCGATATCAGCTGTTTCCTATCCATACGTACGCTGGATACCACTGTGAAGTTTGGCAAATTGAATTATCTGTCTTCCTGTTCATTATTATATCACTATATTCTTACTGCTTTCATTATTATGACTGTATTTCTTCTCTCGCCTTTTTATCTCTCTTTTTCTAGTTTATCGACGAGAATATTAACAATACGAATAGTAATAATAATAATAATAATAATCTTGATGATACCGACAATACTAACTCTAAAAATTATTTCGATTTAGATGAAAATCAACAGTTTTACTGTTATCCTGAATTGAAAACACCAAATATGATCTGTTATTTAGATGAATCAGTCAGTGTGTATCCAAGTAATGATAAGGAGGCAATAATTAAAGTGAATACACATCCTGATGATGATGATTGTCGTGATAATCATCTTACAATGGAAGTGTATAACACACACTGTAGTGATTATTCATTTATCTGAGTTTTCTGTGTATCACTTCTCCACTTTCTGGATACTTGTCAATCTGTCTTTGCATGACAACATCATATATATATATATATATATATATATATATATATATATATATATATATATAAGTATGCGCACATATAGCTCCATTTATTGATGTTGTGTTCCCCTTGTATTACACTTATTTTTACCGGACTTTCATATCGATTCCTTTCTAGTTTGTATAATATTTGTTCCTTCAGACAAACTGTGCAATATATATATACAATATTATTTTCATTCATCGTGATAAGATGATGATAGGGGAGTTCTAGACGTATGTTTCTACTTGTTTAAGACTTATACGTCAGGTGGATGTATCTGAACGCTGGCGAATGATATTATTCCCCTGTTTACAGATATGTTCAGTTAGTTGTCATCAAGCTTTACACTAATATACATAACTTTTCTCAGATACGAGATATTCAACCAATCATCGTAGATTCCTTAGTTTGTTGTAACTAGGACACGAAGCAGTCAACTCCTTGCCTCAACTTCATCGATTTTCAAAAAGTATTGGACAGCATGGACTTAGAAGTAATTTGCCAGCTACTGCTTCAGCACTACGGCTCGAGTACCACAAACTTTTATCAAACCTCAGTTAACATGTATATGCTACTTGCTGAGGCTATATGCCATGTGATTGACAATGCAGAGCTGAGTGATGCTTTTTAGGTGATGATCTTCCTGATTGTGGTGGACTGAACTGAACTGGACTGGACTGGACTGGACTGGACTGGACTGTATCATGCAAGAAACAACTGTGAGGAGTGAGAAGACGGACATACTCTCACTGTTTGACGGATGGAAAGATCTTAGGAGATTTGTATTTTGCTAGCGATGATGATTTATGTCTAATGTATTGTGTTGCACAAAGTCGAGGATGTCGAGGCAAAAGCCAAGAGTTTGACAGGACAGGCAGGGCGGTGAAGATGGGCTTCCTTCAGGTGCATGTGTATAAAACAACAACAAGGACGACAACAGCAACAAGAAGCAGTGATCAGTGTGAACGGGAGAAGCTTAGAGGAAGTAGCCTCTTTGACCTACACCTACGTAGACAGCATCATTTGAACTAGAGATAGGGGTATAGACATACATGAGGACGTCCATGCCAGTGAGGATGGGAAAGACAAGAAGACAAGTCTTTGTTGCTTAATGTGAAATGAGTGTGGAGATCTACTGCAGTGCAGTGAAGTGCAGTGCAGTGGGCTCATCACAAAGCGTGAAGACGATGGTGATTTTCCACAGTTAGTCAGTGAAGTTAGTGCTTGTATGTGATGGTTGAGAGACTTATCGTGTTACGGAAAGGATTTCGAACGAAGTGCAGACATCATACATGAACAGGTGACGCTTACACTGACTGGATATTGAAGATGGAGATGAGATGGTGAGAATAATGAGAATAGTGAAGGAGGAAGGCTTGCTTTCACTGAAGCAAGCGAGAAGCCGTGGCGTAAGAAATATGCTGGAGGTGTAAATGGAGATGGATTGGGCATAGACTGAGGAAAACATTCTGTGAGATCGTGCGTCATGCCAGTCCGTGGAGTGTAACGGAGATGGGATATGACGAGTTGGTCGTCGGAGAGAAGGGTGACATTGAGGAGATGGTGTGAAGAAGAAGTTGAAGGTGATGAGGAGTTGTGGAGTGGCGTTAAGGGGACTGTGGAGAAGATGGTGAAGTGGAGATATGTTACTGATGCCCTATGTTCCACTATGATCTGCAGACACAAATTATCGTAAGTCAGTATGTGGCCGATCTAGGAATGGAATCATGTCACAGATTCATATGGCGTTGTGCAGAGCTATATGGTAAGCGAAATTATATAAAGTTGTGATCTGCGGCCGAATCTGGTAGCTCAGTTATGGTGGGACACGGCGTGAGAAATATAGTCGTCTGTGCTTGAAATCTTGTTATGGTTCACATTTTCATTAACCTTGTAGTCATCGCCGAGTAACGGTTTTATAAGTTTGCCAAATTACGCCCGATAACTCAGCTAATCAAACTAAATATATGTGTGAAAGGGGTGAAACAAGAGTCAGAGGTTGAAAAATTGGATTGATCTTTGGAATTATTGATTAGGTTTACTCTGATGAAGGTAGATAAGGAGATACAAGGCTTGACTTAGCTATGTGTTATATGCGAATGAGAATTCTATTCAAAAGATTTTATGCAATAAGATAGATGATTTTGAATGCTTTGGTCTTGTCTGCTACATGACCTTGCTGTTGACTAAATGTGACATAATCGAACTTTACTTCGACTTCATTTGTCCCTTTTCTAAACACTGGGACAGATGCTCAGCAACATGTTTCTTAAGCTGCCTAATGGTACTCGCGATATGTCTTTCTATACTGGCGCAGATGAGTTGATAAATGCGCATATGTCAGGACTGGACACGTTGTAAACATTTAGGGATACTACTTTAGCTACTAACAAATTTGTAAGTAGTATGAGTATGACAATAAATATCTAGCCAAATGTCCATTATAAAGCTTAGTTTATTTTTCAGTCACTGAGTTTATCATACAGTGACTCGTGTTACTGCCCACGATATTGATACCTAGTGTTCTATTGAGGTATAACATCCATTTAATGATCGACGTATTCTTACGATGAATACTAGACTCTACATTAACAGTTTGCCTTTATAGGAGGTTGAGATCTGGTTAGGATTGAGGTTGAACGCATTATCCTGGAAGGAGAAACAGTGAACTGGATGTTACTTGAACTGTTTGTGAATATATTGCTACCTGTAACTTCGCGTTATTATTCTTGATGGGATATTTCGACCTCTATAATGTGGATACCTTGATACTATTTGAATGTTGATCACGCCACATTTTATCGGTGGTTTGCAGTGGAATCCAAGACGCATATTTCGATTCTGGACTGACGTGTCAGCTGGATATACGTACACCACATTGAGTGGTATTGTTCCCATTGTGAATTGAACCCAGTGATCATCACTTCTAAGGCCATAATGAATACTTAGATAGTATTGAAGTGTCCACATTGGAGCCCATCTTTCAACAGAGTTCGAGCAATCCACTCCATGATGACACCGGGAGATATATGTATCGAAAAATAATGACTGCTACCCGTTGTATACGAGATGTCTTTTGTGCTTTGATGGTAAAGTGGATAATACTTTAGCGTTTGAAGTAATAGGTGGTGAGTTTCAGTGGACAGGAGGTACATTGAGCTGACATTCCTGAAATAGGAATCGTTAAATTAAGCTTTTATAGAAATAAACAAAACCCGTGCCGCTACTTAGAAGCAAGGCACATGTAATTTATTTGAAGGTATTATTAAGGTGATTCTTCAAGTTGCAATGAGAGGTCATGACCGGTGGGGCAAACCTGGTAGATTGGATTCCGATCCAGTGACACTATGGTAATGTGTTGGCTACGGAACCTGAAGTTCCGGGTTCCATCCATAAAGGATGCGGTCATAGGTGTCCACTGTTCAGGAGTCCCATACTAGTACGAAACAGTCGCTGTCCAGTGCTCCAATGTTCCTCCAGCTGATGTCAGTTCATGATGAATATCAACTTGAAATCAGTAGATTCCAACGAAACTCCAACCTTGGTTGCATTATGTTCTCTGAGCTGGGTTGTTTAATTGTGAAGCTTTCATCGTCCTTCTAGACGACATCATCCGCACTAACTTGAGTATGAAGTGATCTGTCAATATCTCTCCGTGAGTGATTTAGTGATTTGCTTTGACGATGTGGTCTATGATTGATTGTTTCCTTCGATTGTTGTGTCATTGACTGACTGTATAGATTTTCCTGTTGGCTGTCCTTCTGCTTGACCTCTGACCTTTCTGTCGTCTGTCATTTTTCTTATTGGTTGATAGATCGGGTCTATGTTTATACATCTGTTGATTGCTGACTGATTGACGTGAATGCCAAGCTTCTAGGAATTCTCTGACATTCTTTGTGTTTCCTCTGTCCAAAATTTCTACATTGTCGAAATTCAATTCATATCCATCGTTGTTATCCACATGCATTGAAATGAGTGATGAAATGTCGTGGCGTTTACTAACCAATTGGTGCTCATGTAGACGAAGGCGAAGAGGGTGACCACTTTGTCCAATGTGTAGTGTTGACTACAGTTACTGCAGTTGATCTTGTAAATGATATTCAGTTCGTCTTCATTGGTTGTTGCATCCCTTGGTCTGCATAATAGTATTTGAAGGGAATTTGTTGGTTAACAAGTGGCCACACCAATTCCAACAAGTGGTCTCAGTAATCTTGTCGTGATTTCTGTTATATCCTTTATGTATGGTAGGATGATGCGTATGTTGATTTCTGTCGACGACTTTGTAGTTGATGATGTACGGGATAGACATCTTGTGATAAAGTTTCGTGGGTAACCGTTCTTCTTTAGGATGGACATCAAGTAATTTTCTTCATTTCTGTGTGAAGTTGTTGTACTGCAGTGTGTTCTCGCTCTTCTGAATAGAGTCTGCACGCAATTAATCTTGTGGATTGTTGGGATGATGTCGTCTAGAAGGACGATGAAAGCTTTTGCACGATTAAACAACCCAGTTCCTCAGAGATCACAATACATCCAAGACCATTCAACTGAGCAACAAATATTCTCCACTATTTCGAAACCGCAACTACTCATTCACGTATTCGAACAAGATACTAAATGGTGTCTAAAGGATTTAAAATCTGACGAGAACCTTAGTAACTGAAGGAATTTTGAAACGATCTTCGATTCGTTAAGCTTAAGATAAATTAGTTTGAATAGGTCTATAACAGATGCGTGAAGCTGATAATTTATACGATATTTACACATCTATTATGCGAATAAAATTAAACTGGTGGTCGTGTAAAACTCTTAGTAGGTTTCATCGCTACTGTGACTAA